TGCAGGAATCTTTCCAGTGCCAATACGATCACTAAAGATAACTACCGCTATCTTCCTGTGTACACCAACAATGGCAGAGTGTACCACAATCGTTTCTGTGCTGAGTGTAAYGGAGTTTCTCCAAAGAACATGACCAATTTTACATTGTCCATTGAATGCGATTTTACCCCTCCACGCCATCTGAGCATTGAGAGCACAATATCCTATCTTTTCTCTTATTGTCAGAGCACATCAAACATGATCTTTTGGTCACCAAAGCATGAAGGAGATCCAAGAAGATATTGTCTTCACATTATGTCGGTGTCTGACTGCTTCTCTACGTTYAATACCGATGCGAACATGTCCCTTACTAACTGTTTGACAGGCAGACCAAGAATAGTGACCAGTCGATACTTTTACAATAATATTGACTGTGCAAAATGTGAAAATCTTATGAATCAAATATCTTGTGGTCCAAATATTACAGCAACTGATTACGGTAAAAGAGGTTCATGGGGAATAGATACACCTCCGCCTCCCAAACTTTTCTCAGTCATTTTTGACTTCAACCATGACAACTCAAAAGGATTCGATAAGATGAAATTCCAAACACCTTGTGCTTCTGAACAAGTATATGATCATTACCTGGATATCTGTAGAGATGCTTTACCAACCTTGCCAAGCTTTTCAGATGTTTACGAATACCGAGTTGTCTTGTGGCTGGAACCAGCTATCTCAAGATTCGAACCAGAAGACTTTTATCGTCGAGTCCTTTCACAAGCACTAGCTGTTCCCATTCAGCATGTCCGAAATGTAGAATTAGTATATAACATTTCGTTTACCCTCCAAATTCAGAAAGACGAAATCCTTCAAGGAAACGTGCGAAATATTTTATACTTCACATCACCATTCAACATCAGTAGGACTGRGTTCATATACACTGTTGTCAAAGCAACTAAACGAATACTAAGTTGTATCAATCGTCAAAAGTATGACAGGAGTGAGTACACGGTACTACAAGATGGTTCATCAACAGTCGTCATCAAAAAGACAGGTGAAGTCTTCCAGTCTACAGATTACTACCTCAATACAACTAAAGCATCAACTTCAGCCAATGACAGCCAAGCTATATTTGTGTGTCGTCATCACCAGATATCTAACTGTTCAGGGGTGTATATACTGATTAATGAAGGAGAGTTTAGAGTCCTGATGAACAAGTCCATATTCGTGAACGCTTCAAAACAAGTTTATGATTTGTCAGAATACACATGGATAAACAAGAGTGTGCTGRTCTGTGAAAACTTYTCYACAACTTATTACCAATCCAAAGTCGTACCAAAAGACGATSCASTATTGACCACCATAACCWTAGTCTGCATGTCCTTGTCTATCATCGGCCTGGTGTTTGTCCTCGTGACTTATTCCTTGTTCAGTGAGCTACGAACACCACCAGGAATCAACCTGATGAACCTCAGTGTTTCTATTCTGCTGGCACAACTGTTGTGGTTACTTGGAAGTGGACAGACAGACACACCCATGGCTTGTACTGTCATCGCKRTCCTTCTACATTACCTCTTCCTTGTCTCTTTTGTGTGGACGTCAATCATCGCCTTTGACACTTGGAGGGCTTTTTCTGTAGAAAACAACGCATTCTCTGACTCTAAACGTGAGAAATATATAAAGATCCTTCGCCACGTCGCAGTCGGATGGCTTCCCGCTCTGGTCTATGTGGGCATTTGTGTCGGTCTTGACTTCACAGATACTGTGAATATTGGATACACGTCCAGGATAGCATGCTGGATGGCCAATAAATGGGCCATCTTGTATTTCTTTGCTGTCCCAGTCTKCGTGTTTCTCGTATTCAACATCATGTTTTGCTCCATGACATTTAGAGCTATAAAAACCACGACAGCACAAGCAGGAGCAGCCTTAGACAATAACACCAAAAAGAACTTTGGYATCTACGTACGTATTGCATCACTGATGGGCTTCACGTGGATCTCTGGATTCGTTGCTCCGTTTGGTTGGCAGTTCTTGTGGTACCCTTTCGTCATTCTGAACGGCCTGCARGGTGTTTACATTGCCTTGGCTTTTCCCCTCAGTAGAAGAGCCCTGGGCCTTTATAAAAGATCATTTAAAGGTCGCTCTYCATCAAATGAAACATCAAATTCTCCTGTCTCAAAAACAAAAACAAGTCATTCAGAATACAACTGAAGCAGCGCCGAGAGAAACTTGTAAAACTGTTCAGAAACCTTCCAAAAGTTTTTACAAAACAAACTAGCTGAAAAACTTTGACAGAAAGTACAGTAAAGGCTGATCTTCGTCGTAAGGGACTCTTTCCTAACGTTGCTTCTCASTGTGGCATTCTAGTGATCAGTTGACATGTAAATAGATCAACAGAGTAAAATTGTAATGAAGACAATATAGAATACATTTTACTGTAAACTTGTAAAGAACATGTAACCTTTTTGAAATAGCTTTATAGTAGCTATATTGAATAGAATTAGAAGTAGTACATTTGCATGAATATAATTAGAAATTTGCTATTATACGTTATATATATATATATACCCAACGATGTTTAAGGCCATTTGTAGTATAGTGATGTGATTATGTAATCATACTTGACGATGAAAGAGAATTTATTGCTTTTAAGCTAGCGATTGGTGCAATATTAAAGTGTGCTAAACATTTCTCACAGTCCATGTTTTATTTGAAAGAAAAACAATTGCTCTTGGCTATAGTATCTAAATGAACTTCACTACACACAGTCCATGTTTTATTTGAAAGAAAAACAATTGCTCTTAGATATAGGATCTAAATACTTCATTTTCAGTCGTAATTTTAAGGTAGTTTGGGACTCTTGCTGCTGCGCATCCAATTCGCGCATCTCGTTTTTTATCGCTTATTTAAGTTTCGTTTTCGAAGTTTATCCTGATATTATGTAAATTTGAAAAGTCCTCAAGATTTCTTGGATTTAGCTCTATTTTCTTTGTAAAGAAAATTTTTTTCCCCGAACATGCTCAATTCTTATTGTCAGTTATCAGTTATCTGCTCCATTGTGTCGTTTTGCGACAAAATTGTTCTTCACAAAAATTCAATCTAGGAAGAGGAATTTAAAATCTGAAGACCTGTAAAGTGCACCTATCCCCTGATTGATTCTACCAATAGTGAGAAAATAATTTTGGCATGGAATTTGAATATTGTTGAAGCTACATCTCGTCAATTAGCAAGGTGACACCCATAATATAAAAAAATGCATCCTTTTCGATGGGAAAATATTTGACACATTCTTTGCTTTGTTAGCTTCCAATGCATTATCGCTTTCATGATATAACGGATATGGAAGCTTGTTTCCATAAAAGTTTTTTGTTTGTGTTAAACGTGGAAAAAAGCCTTAGAAAAATGTTCGTTTTGGTCGAAAAAGTTTGTTCAATTGTCTACCTCTAACTCGAAAACGATCACGRTGACCCCTATTTTTTGTTTCATCATTAAGTTCCACCTATGTAATTCTTTTTGTGACAAAGTTTGAAGAAAATTCATGTATGGATCCCGAACCCCATTAAGTAGGTCTAGAGCAATCGATATGTCAAACYGTATGACAACTAACAGTTAAATTGCAGTAAAAGGCTGGAGAGTGATTTTTATTTTTGTTCCTATTTCAAAATTGTTGTCAAATATTGCATTACCATGTYGAAATGTATAAGGAAAAAATCGAAGAAAATTATACACAGTATTTAAACATGGAAGGCTGGTGCATGTTTTGCTGTGTACTGACACACAACCTCGTTACCCAAATACAAACAAGGAATGCCACAAGAATAAATAAAAGATGGGCCAAGTTGCTCGATTTATTAGCAGGAATATAAATACGAAAGTTGCTCGATTTATTTGCATTTCCCCTCCCCTTTGGTCTGGCCAACACTCATGACAAATTTCACGGAATCTCTAACCAAAATTTCTTTCAGAATTTCACCCACCAAAAGTTCCGCTCTAGGTATGTTCCCTGGTATTTCACATTACCTCTACAGAGTGGCTCTTCGTTCACTAAATCTAAATGGAATTTTAAAAGCTTGCAATTTYAAGGATGGGGGAAATCCGGAGAGAACCCCTCGAAGCAAATGGGGTTCTCTTTAAAAAGTATTTGTTTAAAAAACACGTATGATTCCATGCAGGACTTTACATAACTAGATCCAAGGAGTGGCTCTTCGTCCACTTGAACATGGCATAGTGAGAACAGGAAATTCGAATGGGTTCTATTTGTCTTCCAGTAATTCATCTCAGAAATAACAACGCGTAGTTACTTAGGTCTTATATAACATTTGAAGCAAGTTATATGTGACCATGGTCAGCAGGTTCGATCCATTCCTAGCTGCGGTTCTTTTCCTCCCAGATCGTGAATTTGCACATTTTTATAAGTGCATCTATGACTTTGTAGGGGATAAAGAAAGCATCCTTCA